TCTATTCTATGTTTTGGTCTCTCTTTCTAATCTTATTATTTCTATAAAATCTTTTATGTTCTCTGTTTTTTATCTCTCTTTTTTTTTTATTGTCTATAACTCAAAATCAACCAATAGACCCAAATGAAAATGAAAAATCAAATATATAAAGACTATATAATGTTCTCTGCAAACACGGCTATAATGTTCTCTGCAAGCACTCCTCTCTAAATAGTTGATGAAGCATTCAGACCCAATTCCTCTTCTCAAATATAGACCAAAATTACAAGATACAGAGTGATGACAAATATACAGAAGGAACCAAAGATGAGGTCTGGTTCCCACCATGTATAATCTGAAATCATAAATTGCTATATAAAAAAATTAAAATAAAGAGCAAGGATAGGTTGAGATTATTACCTTGATTGGAAGAGCAAACAACCTTGTAAGATTGAAAGGCAGGGAGGAGCGAGAATCTGAAAACCAAAGATGAGGTCTGCTAAAATATGAAAACTATAAGAGAATATTTGTTTGTGGGAATTTTCTATGTATTCTTCTCCTTGTAGGAGGTCATATTTATAATACAACAAAACCTGAATGGGCAAGTAAATAATAAATTCCTAAATCTATTTACAGTAGGAAATCAGGAATTAAAGTAAATCAATTACAAATAAAATAGGAATCCTTGGTGTGTAAGGAAAGTAAGTCAATATCCACAAGTCACGCCAACAAATATAGTCCAACAACAGAAAATAGATGCAAACCCACCTTTTAAAAGAAAACAAAATAGCAAGGGACCAGAGTCAAGAAGACCATCAGTTAGAAGAAATCATTGTCAAACATCATATATGGGAGAGGTAATATGCTGGTTGATTGGCGTTTATGGTTTGAGTATCATATATACATTTGGACTTTCATCAAAATCCAAACCAACCCACGCAACAATAACCTAATTTATACACATTTATGCATATAACAATTTAATAACCACAATGCCACCAATTTATCTTCCTCTTCTTGTCCTTTTTCTTTAGGCCAGCTTGGATTGATATAGTTCCAAAAGGCACCCGACTTCTTGTAGGACCAAAAGCCTAGCTACCAAGACTTTGGAGTTTAAGCATTTAAATCCCAAGGTTTTTTGTGGCATGGTGACCCTTCCGTACGATTTCCTTGCTCTTTATCACTTGCAAGCCGTATGCTTCCCATGTGACACCCTCCACCCCTCTACATCCCCAAATGGGGCCATCTCTTCCCCACATCTCCCTTCACCTATCTCTATCACTCGGTACTGTAATCAACTAGAATTGCGCCCAGCTGCCAACTCGGGGACCCCATCTTTAATGGAGTCGGGACGAGTATAACCTCTGTCTATGGGTTTCTCGTTTACATTGACACGGACAGAGAAGAGATGAGAATGGCAAAATCCTTCCAACTTACTTCGCCTTATTTTTAAGTATCACTCGCTTGTAAGGACTTTGTAACTCAAGTAATTTAAGAGCATTTATTATTTTATCCTTATAAGTCAACTCCTCATAAGTCATTGCAAGCTAACTCTAATAGATTTGTACATTAGCGCAACGAACATGGAGCTCAAGTGGTTAAGAGCATTTATTCATGTACCCGAGGTTCCAAGGTTCGATCCCCCTCCTCTAATATAGCTTGTATAAAAAATAAAATAAATGTATATTAGCTAAAAGGTCTACTTGAAGAACAAAGGAAAAAAAAAAGGGCCAAGAAGTTGAAATAACGAAAGGCCCTTTTCGATAAAGTGGCAGATTTTGGTCATAGACTTGGTTAGAAGCGTGGCAATTTTACGACCCTTTAAATGTCTATCATCTCTTTATGGCAAGCAGCCTACCAGTACCAAATATCAACCCAATAATCAAATCAGAACCAGTCGAATTTGGAATTTCATTCTCAAAACCAAAACCCATCACCACAATGTAGCTTGTGGCCCTTGTTCGCTAGAAATATAATATCTAATTGGGAGACTTTGGAAAAAGTAAAAGGAGAGAGAAATTTTTTAAAAGAAGCCAAAATGGACAAAATTCCCTTATTTATTTTTGGATTTCCTAAGGAATCCTTTACATTTGCATGTCTTTGATTTGAAAGTTGAGAGGTTTTTCTGTCTTTTTTGAAAAAACTTTGGCTTTTTCCAAAAGTAAAAAAAAAATTATGACTAAAACCTAAATTTACTTATCTTTTCTCTTGTATAAATATCTATGTAATTCAATGATTGCAGGCAGCAGTGCAATCTTTTCTGTAAGCTTTGAGAGCGATATGAAGTCGAAATTCCAAAAATCTCATAATGGGATGTAATATATCTCAAATTTTGTCTTTGAAAAATATAGATCCAATTGATTTCCATTGGTCACATATCAACTCATAAGTACTAATCGCCAAAGAAAAAGCAACCCCTTGCTTTGACATTACCATGATCACAGATTTTGTTACATTCCTTATTTAAATAATGTTCTCATTTTGCTCTTGCAGTTTTACTTTTTTAAAATTTTAAATAAAAAAAAATACAAGTAATAGTCTAAACTACAAAAGAATACGATTTCTCATACACGATACCAAAGTGTCGTAAATTTCGAACCTAAAATTATTGATATGCAAGTCAGTGTCCTTTTTTACTAGACTAGACCTCGTTGGTTGGTTGTTGTCTTACATTTTAGTTCATTGGAAGAAGTTATTAAAAATATATAAATGATGAATACTAATGGGAAGAAAGTAAATAAATAAATAAAGGTTGATAAAAATGAAAATGGTCAGTTAAATGTGGTAGCTTTTTTTAGTTTGATGACGAAAGAAGAGGGGACAACAGAATAATTGAAAAAAGGGTAAATCTGCAGCAGCCAGCCACATCAGAATGTACGGACACGGCCAGGAGCCCTTCAGGTGGACGCCTGCTGGGAGGAATCTGTCACTTTACACGGGATTTATTGTTTTTTTCTTTTCTTTTCTTTTCTTTTCAGGTATAAACGGTGATTCTTTCAGTTTCTCTGTCACACACTTTCTTGTCAAATTAAATAAAATTAAAGTTGTTTTTTTTGGGGGAAATAGATGCTTTACTCATTAACAATGACACATGACAGTTATTAGTGGAGACGTAAAAAAGAACTTTTGAGAAATATGAAAGGAATTTATTTATTTTCATCGATATTAATATCTTTTTCTTCTTTCTCCTTCCACATCATCATCCTGCAATGTAATTTAGGGTTTGTTTAAGAGTGACTTTGGGAGGGTCAAATTACTTATAGGGAGAAGTATCTCTTACGTGATTCTTCATATAATCATTTAAAGTTATTTTAAGCAATTCAATGGAGAAGTGATTAATGGTCTCTATCTAGAATCACTCTCAAACGAGCCCATAATGATTGGAACAATCCATTTATCTCTCAAAAATTATCTCTATAAGAAACTTCCGGTATGATATAGCTCAGTTTGTTGAGTTATTCCACCTCCACCCATGTGGGCAAAGGTTTTTTTTAAAAAAAATTATGTTTCCCCATTACCAATTGGTTTGGGGAGAAACTTCAACTTCCTTTATGGTATCAGAGTGGGTTCGCCCCACGTGTGAAGCCTAAAATCCACACGTGTTCTATGTCACCCAATATGTTTTATCCATGTGTTAAGCTTGAAATTTCACCACACTTGAGAAGATTGGGGGAAGAGGGCGTGTGAAAATGTGAAAAAATATCTCACCTGCAAAAGTTAAGAGATGTAATACAACAATATAGATATGTTGAGATATAATTTCATAATAACTAAGAACTGACAATAATTTAAAAGGAATTATAATATTAATGAGTGTGGATGCATGAGCCCATATAATAACACCAAGAGGATGCCCTCATCTGCCCAACACCGAAAATAAAGTTAGGGTTTAGTGAAAGATGGCGATGTGTAACTGCGGCCGCATTGGCTCTCAGTACTGTCAGCTCAGCATCCGCCAATCAAATGGCAAAGATTGTAAAAACTAGACCGACCAATAAAGTTTGGGCTCACCTATGTTCCTAATATATAACCCCAACAAACCCTACCTTCGCTTTACCATCCGTGGTTCATGAGCTTCCAAACTCTCATCTCTTTCAAGCACACACACAAAGTCAGGCCTCTGTTTCTTTCTCTGTCATATTGCTTTCTATTTTATTTGTTTTCTCTCTCTCTAATCCTAATTAACATTTGTTGATTATTTCTAATCTTTTTTTTTTCCTCATTTTCTCTTTCAAACACTGGAATACCAACTGGAATTTTGTCTCTGGATATGATCGTTTCTGTGGGAATCTGAATTTGGTTTTTTTTCTTTCATTTTCAAATTGTGTTCTTTGTCGGAATCGATCGATCCTTTCGGAGAAACCTGAGCTGGATATCAAAATCTGTGAATTGTGAACAGAGTATATGTAACCTTTATCATTATTATTTTTCTCAAATATTCTTTGAGATTTTTTATTATTATAGATTAGGTAGTACCTTAAAAAAAAAAAAAAATAGGGTTTTGTTTTGTTTTTTGTTTTCTTCTTGGGTCTAGTTTCAACACGTTAGATTCTTCTTGGGCTACCCCTCTTTACGTTTTGGCCACTGGCAGTAGGCCACGTAAGCTTATTCCTCGTGGACTTGGTGCTATTTAATTTGTACACGATGAAACTAAAATTCTCCAAACTATTCCCTTCACTGTGTTCTTCTTTGAATGTCCTTAGTCTTCTGGTTCTTTTATATATATATATATATATATATAAATAGTTTATGTATCATTTTCTTGTTAGATTACCTCTTCAAAATCCACAAACACTCGGATCTCGATCGGTACATGACTCGTATATATGCTTTGATGATATAAAAAGATTGACAGTCGTTGTTTGCGGGCGTAGCATCATCAAGATTCACGCACATGCAATTAACTTGAAAGTTTCTCTCTTTGCCAAAGTTTCTTTCAAAGTGAGAATCTTGATGATGCTGCATCGGCAATAAACCACTATACAAAAGAGAAGACTCCCTCTCTCTCTCTCTCTCTCTCTCTCTCTCTCTCTCTCTCTCTCTCTCTCTCTCTCAGTCTCACCAGTCTTTCACGGTCTCACCAGTCGCTAAGGCAACTTTTTTCACTTCAATGATTTCTTGCTTTCTACTGTTAGGTGTGGGTTCTTTTTAAATTCGTTGCTTCCTATTTTTAGGTGTTATTTTCCTTCGATAATTAAGGCAGCTCATATCATTGGAGAAGTGTGTATAAGTGTTGTTATATATATGGCTCCTCATTAACTCTGCTCTGCTGACTTTTGACAGATCTGTGATTATTCTTCTGAGAAAAGCTGAGTGATTGAGTCTGTTTATGGAGAGAGAGCGAGAGACTTGAGCCTCGATGATGCTATAAAGCCTTTTAAAGCATTTTGAAAAGGTGAATATCTTCAAACCATTTATAAATATTTCACATGAAGGTAAATTTTGTTGTGGGTCGGTTTTCAGTTCTAGTTCAGATCCACCCATGAACTGTCCCGATCGTTTAATACAGAATCCAAAAACTATGTATTTTTTCATTTCAAACAAGGAGTGCATTTTGATTTTAACAACAATATTGGCTCTTTGGTATGTAGTTTCTAATTAATAAAGAATAGAATAACTCAGAAACAACCCGGTTTCGGAAGATGCGAAGGTATTGTTTTCAAAATTGAAGAAGCTCACTACTAGAAAATGCCTCCCCTTTCATAAAAGACGGATGCAGAAAGGTGAGAACGAAACAGTAAGATCAGTACGTAGGTTTTCCATGGGATGTGCAGGAAAAGAAACAGTATTAATGATCTTGTGTAAGATATGCAGCTGAAGCTGAGAAAGAAGTTAATTTTAATTAGGGTGTGTGTGTGTGTGGGTGGGGGGGCTGTTTGATGCCTGTTTGATTGAAAAACTTAATAATTGTTTTATGAACAATGTTCCAAGTGGTTTCGATCTCTAGCTGTGGAATCAGTACTTCATTGAAAATGAGAACTTCGATATGTAAAATCGTGGTGGGAACTTGTCACAAAATGTCACATTGTGACTGCCTGCCATTCTTGTCCTTGCCTCTACACTTTGTTTTGTGGACCAAACAAAGAGAGTGATCATCTCTCCCAACTTGGACCCCTCGACATAATATTATTCACTCCAACCTCTTCAATAATACTTCACACGTGACAGTGATAATTCAGACCATGGAGATCTGTGTGCCTCTATCACTATCCATGCCTTTTTGATTCACATATGCATCCATTATTTTTTCTGGTAATTATGAGGAAGAACAAAACTCGTGGCCTCTTATCCGTTAAGGTAAACTTTGTGTACTTGCAATCACTCTAAACCTCATTTATAGTTTAAATTTGAGTGTCGTGAAGCTATTGATCATAGGATTGATCCGATTATACATAATGCTAGGACCACTGATTATAATGCAGTGATATATATATAATATATATTTATATTTATATTTATGTAATGCTAGGACCACTGGTTTCTTAATATTTACTCTTGAGGTTGGAGGGCATGATTTCCTGTTTATTAGATAACTTCCATAAGACTGGAACTTTGATGTACTTTGTTTCTCAAACACATTTTAATTCAATATCTTAATCCCTATACTTGATTCACTTCGTTTTCTCGTAATCGAATCTGTCATAGAATTCAACGTTTTGAGTTCCAATCATAGCTGGAGTAGCTTGATCATTTGCAAAATTTGAATTTCCAGTGGTGGATGTTAGGTTTTTGCTCAAGAATGAGTCTTTCTAATATGGCACTGCTCTTAGTCGTCTGAACGCTAAACAGTATTCAAACTGTCGAGGTCCACAAATTATTTTTAGTTATCAAATTAATTTGCCTCTCTTTTCGTTTTGGTGAGGTTTTAAATGCATCTCTGTACTTTACTACTTTAGAATCGTCTTATAATTTATAGATATGTAGTTTGAATTTAGTTTTCCATGTATATAGTTGCAATCGTACTTTGAATTTGTCTTCCTAACCTCTAGTATTTTACAGAGGCTGGTAGGTGTGGACGTCTCTGCATCGAATATTGTAAGAGGACGGTCGATTGGCAGTACATAGTCAAGCTCCTAGTCCTCTCATAGTCCTGTGCAGATGCCCACACGTAAACAGTTATACACTTGGAATACTTTGAAAACCCTTCATACCCTCATTACAGATACCAATACATGAACAGATACATGCCGTATATGCATCCATACCACTAAAATATTATACTTTTCCTTACGATTGGATACACAAAATACTTTTGTATGGCAGGGCGCGACTTGGCGTGGACTCACATTTGTACGACATAATGCATGAGAACTAGCGGGGATGCTCTAGAGAAATTTCTGGACAAAATTCTGAGTGGATCACTTGATTTAATTTTCGTTTGGAAATCAATGAAGGG